GCCAACTGTGAGTACAAACTGTCAGTCTGACAGGAAACAGCTGAATGTGAGGTAGAAAATAAAGTTCAGAGGCAGAACCTTGAACCAATGGACCAGCAGAAAAACAAAAATCTCAACTCCTGGAAGTCCTGTAACTTTGTGACGGTTTGTTCCTGAGGGGGCAATCCACCATTTTTAACCCCCTAAAATGAAGAGAGTGAAGTAAGGTACTGTCAGGTAATGAGAGCATCTGAACAAAATCTGAGAAAGTAAAAGTGGAAGGATGTTTCTTTGAAGAATTCATTTTGACTGAACCTGAATGATTAAACCGACAGAAATAAAATGTCTGTTTCCCCCAAAGGTCAAAGGGTTAAATAAGAGATTGCACATCAGGGTGAATCTAAAAGCCTAAAGTTTGTCCTTAATTCATGTATTTTTGTCTGAAGGGGTTTGTCTGACCCAGTGGGAGTCCAGTTACAACACCGGGGCGGTCAACCACAACTCTGATGGATCCACGGACTACGGCATCTTCCAGATCAACAGCCGCTGGTGGTGCGAGGACGGGCACACCAAATCATCCAATGCCTGCCATCTCAGCTGCAGCGGTCAGTGAAGAAACTCCAAACTAACCACATCCTACATATTTTACTGATTCTCAGTCAGATCCACCAAACGTGACTTTAAAAAGTGCCACAACTGTTGTTCCAGATCTCCTGACTGACAACGTGGACAAGGCGATTAACTGCGCTAAAAGAGTTGTTCAGGATCCTGCAGGCGTCGGAGCCTGGTGAGATCATGTGACGGAGACGTGTTCACGGCTTTGAACTTTATTTCTGGATTAATCTTTGTTTTGTGGTTTCAGGGTGGCCTGGCGTGCACACTGCAAGAACCAAGACCTGAGCAAGTATCTGAATGGATGTCATCTTTAAAACCTTAGACCTTCATGTTCATTTGCTGCTTGTCGTTAATTGTTCGAGATCAGCTGAACTGTACTTCCTGTTTAGACATTTACTTCTGGTTTTGGTACTTTTAGTTCCTTTACTTTCAGTTCTTGTATTCTTGACCTTTCTGACCTTTCTGCTTGTTTGGATCCTCAACGACACACAAATGACTTTTGTTCAGTGTTTACCAACAAAATGTTAAATCACTGAGAACTGCTCTGTAACTTTCTGCACTATTGGTCTTTTGGAAACATTAAACTAAAGGCATTAAAAACTCTTGACTGTTTTATTCAGATAACTGTTGGTGAATGAACCAGCAGTAAATTTGATTTGCTTCCTTTTTAAAACCTGGTCCTGCAGCTCTGTTCTGCTTTGTGTGAAACTTCTGGGCATTTGAAAACACATTTTCATCCTGGGTTCTATTTCATAAAAGCCAGAGTGGGTTGAACTCAACAAATTGGATAATAAGTTATTCAAACATTGGCTGATCAAATTTTCAGACACAATAAGATCTGTAATATAAGATGGAGCTAGGTTGTTGAGAGCTTTGTAGGTTAGAAGTAAGATTTTGAATTCTATTCTGGATTTGACAGGGAGCCAATGGAGAGAA